TAGTCAGGTTTTAGAACATTGCTTTATTTATCATTAGGACTTGCGTAGCCTCATTTTTGGAAAGCTTCAAATTTAACTTTCTTTATTCAAAGTCTAAAAATATATTCTGTAATTTTTTAATTTTGTAATTTTTTGCTGGGATATATTCAATATTTTGAATAATTCCTTTATGAAAAAAATTATATTAATCAAATAAATATATCCACATGTTTTTATGATATTTGTCTACAAAAAATAGACGATAAAGATAATTAAAAAAATAAATTGCCTTTTTTTTTTTGTGTGTAAACAAATTTTATAAAATCATGATGTACAATTATCGGATCAATATGATTTTTTTTTTTCATAGATGGCCTACACATAAAATCGAATAAATTGAACAATTTAAATTTGGGTTTTTTTTACTAGCTAGCCCCAATAATTGAATCTATTACCCATTAGGTCTTAAGTTTCTATCACATGTACTAAGTAGTCCTGTTGTATTTTTTGATCTCGATTTTACCCCTGTTATGATGAATTATGTGGTTTTGTTTAATTCTCTCTCTCTCTCTCTCTTTCCTTTCCCCGAAGGATCTGGGTTTTGAAAAATATTTCACGTACTGTTGTGTTGCAAGAGCCATTGATTCTGCCACTGTAATATTGGGCAAAGATGAATGGGGTCACGCCGTCAACGGCTGTAAGAAAGTTTGTGACGAAGACTCGGCAATCGAATAGTTGTTCATTGGTGCTGGTGAGCATGAGAGCTGACTCTATAGTCCTTGGGTTTGAGGGAGATGGTATTAGATCTGAGAGAGATCAAGAAAATCGACATGAGCGAAGATTGGTATGTCGATATTGACATGCTCAGAGCTCTATACTAGTTAATAATGGATGAGTGAGATGAAAAAAAGGCAACAGAAAGGCGTTCAAGGTGTTAGATCAGAACGGTGATGGGTTTATCTAGGTATTTTCAATGCCGATTGGAGCTTCTATCTTGTTTAAACCAGTGATAAATTTATCAGTAAATTTGTTGAATATGTTTGTTTTTGTATAAAACTTGATAAATCAAACAGTGATAAATTTATCATTTGCAATGGCAATTTTCCTGTTGTAATTTTTTTTTTTTTACAAACAGTCGGTGATAAATTTATCATTTAATCTGACATCGTCATTGTCACCATCTTCCTCCATAAATTTATCATTTGTAATGGTGATGATTACATTTTCCTTCTGCAAATTTTTAAATTTTTTTTGCAAACAATCAGTGATAAATTTATCACTGAATGCATCTCTGATTCTAGTGTTGGTTTGTAATGGTGATTGCTTGATTTTCCTTTTGTAGTTTTTTTTTACAAACAAACAATGATAAATTTATCACTGAATCTGATTTTTGATGTTTCGTCTTGATCTGTGAATGTGAAAAATAATGAGAACTATTTTCTAGTAATGGCTTCTTGTTCTCCTTCATTTTCTTCATCATTTTTCTTGAGAAGTCAAACGTATGGATTATCAGGGATGAAATGGAAAGGTAGACTAAATTGATTTGAAATAAAATCTCATAGGTATTAAGTCCGGTCCAACGGCCAGGAACTCCCCCCTTTAAATTATCAAAGTGAGAACTATGACAAACCAGATGAGGCCCAACAATACCTATTGTCTACAAGTGGACCGGAGAAAATCTTATTCCTCTATTAAAAGTCCTTGAAGTTTGGACCGACGTTATTCATTATAAATAGAGTAATTACGCATGTTTGAAAAAAAGAAGAAGTAAATTTGATAAGTTTGGCATAATTATATTAAGTTTTCTTAAGGTTTTAATTTACATAAAATTTAACCTCATTTTTATCAATAATTCATTAGTCATATAGATGAAAGATAATATTTCTTTTTATATATTTATACTAAAATATATATTTTATTTTATTTATTTTACGCTATTTGCATTAGTTCTAGTCACTTCAAACTTATTAAAATGAAGATCAATGCAATTATACAGAAACTATTAAATTTATTATTATTTTTTGTTCAAATTTTAATAGAGATTAGTGTGATTTACCCTTACAAATAAGTAGTATAATGCAGATATGATACTGTTAGCTATATATTTTGTAAAAGCCAGTTACAGTCTGACACGTGGCAGAATAAGGGTATTATTAGAAAATAATTTAAGTCTCCAATCCTGATCGTACACGTGGTGATGATAATTGGTTCTCACATGGTCTGAGCAACATTGGATCAGTAAAGAAATGCAAGGTGACGTCGCTTCAACGGTTACTTATATTCAAATTCAAATACAGGAGGGAAGCCTAACTGCAAATGGTGGCATAATGGAGCTACTTCTAAGGCAACATGATCAGCGATCATGGAGGGGCAGTTCGACGGTTCGAAGAGAGTTCGAAGGTCATCTTTGACAAGTATAAATAGCAGAGAGACCCCCAGGAAAAGGAGGGAACTCAGATCATGCACACCAGTCTTTATTTCATATTTTTACTTTCCAGTTTTACATTCCTGTACTTTAAATACCTGCACTTTACATATCTGCACTGCACTTCAATTCATAGGAGTAGTCTCAAGTAGATTCAAGTGGACTGTTGCTGTAAACCTCTTCGAGGCTGAGTTTGGACTATTGTAAGTTTTTCATTTTTATGAAATACTTCCATTGTTCTTCATATTAATTGTTATTTTTCTTAATTTCTCCTAAGTCGAGCCACCAGTAAAAGTCCTCTTCATTGAGGCTGAAAGAACTAAAACACAATCGTCTGGTAATTGGTTGGCAATCACAATTTCTGTAAGGACTGATTGATCCTTGCTGGCACGCTCACATTTACAAAAATACCCTTCGAAAAGCCAAAAAGCCAACATATATTTTTGGCACGCCCAGTGGGACATAATTAAAAATGGCTAGAAGAAGACGACAAGGAGAAAACGAACGCTTGGAAGAAGGCGTGGAAGGAGAGGTAGAAATACCAAATCCAGAGGATAATGTGGTAACACATCCTGTGGAAACTCCTATATTGTCAGAACCTATGGTCGAACAAACCAATATTTCTGGACAAGAACCATATGTTCATATTATTGGACAAAACCAAGGAATTGGACCGTCCACTGTGCCATTTATTCAACCAACAAATCCATGGGATGGTTTAGTAAATGCCATGGGACAACAATTAATGAACACAATGGAAAGGTGGGCAACATCCTTTTTGGATCGAATGAATAACCACCAACCAACAAACACAAGACACACGGAGGAAGTCGTAAATGTCCCCCAACATAAAATTGAAATTTCGAAGAGAGTTCGAAGGTCATCTTTGACAAGTATAAATAGCAGAGAGACCCCCAGGAAAAGGGACGGAACTCAGATCATACATACCAGTCTTTATTTCATATTTTACTTTCCAGTTTTACATTCCTGTACTTTCAATACCTGCACTTTACATATCTGCACTGCACTTCAATTCATAGGAGTAGTCTCAAGTAGATTCAAGTGGACTGTTGCTGTAAACCTCTTCGAGGCTGAGTTTGGACTATTTCAAGCCACCAGTAAAAGTCCTCTTCATTGAGGCTGAAAGAACTAAAACACAATCGTCTGGTAATTGGTTGGCAATCACAATTTCTGTAAGGACTGATTGATCCTTGCTGGCACGCTCACATTCACAAAAATACCCTTCGAAAAGCCAAAAAGCCAACAGATACTTATTATATCGGGTTAGTTTCCAGTTTCCAGCACTGAAAATTTGGGGGCAAATAAAGAGTAAATCAAATTGAGTTAATTACATTTTCAGTCCTCAAAAAAAGTGATTCGTCTTATTTTACTCTTTAAAGTATTTAGCCCCCTAACACATAAAAAATATTTTAATTTAGTCTCTCAATCTAACTCTCTCAATCTAACTCTGTTAATGAATGCTGTTGAAGTCAAGAATTCATGTAAAAATTTCCTTAAAAAATTATGTTTTTTAATCTCTAAACAATGTGCTTTGTTATTAATATATACTCACTTTAAAAAATTATATATTTCTAATCCCTAAAATATTTTGTCTCCAAAATTGCACATGTAATCATGAATTTAACCACGTGTATTGATGGTGTGAAGTTGAGGGGCTAAATTAAAATAATTTTTATTACACTAACCGCTATTAAGGTTTGAAGAAAAAATACAATTAGTCTCACAATTTTAACATAATTACGTTGGTTACTCTTTTAATAAAGGTAAAGCGGCTATAACTAATACAAATAGTATGAAAATATAAAGAATTAAAGAAAATTATACATTTTAATATAAAAAATATGATAATATCGTTTTCATATCCATATAATTAACGAATTATTGATGAAATGTTAAGTGTTATATAAATTAAAATTTAATGGTACCAAATATAATAATATTAAAACTGTAGACTTATTGTATTTTTTTGGAAGCACAAGAGATACAAGTGTAATTTACCCTTTTTGTAAATTAACAATTAAATTGTTATAATTTAAACATTAAAGACAAAAATGACACAAAAATCATATTTTAGTGACTAAAAGATGCAAGGAAACTCCTTCAATACACACGTCCATTATGTTTTAAAAATGAAGTTACGTTAGAAAAATGTGTAATTTTATTTTTGAATTACAAATTGACTTAACTCTATTAAAAATGGGTAAATTATCAATAAGCCATAATAGTTGGATTTAATTTTTATCAAATCCTTTTGAAAATAAATATTAGTAAAATCGTTCCTAAAATAATTTTTTGTGACGATTTTTTGCATATGTCGCTAAAAATTGACAATTAGCGATTTTTTCGTCACAGTTTTTATAAATTGTCGCTAAAATTTACAATTAATAACTTTTTTTTTATGAATTTTTCAAATTGTTGTGAAAATTAAAAATTAGCGACCTTTTTGATGATTTTTTTAAACTGTCACTAAAACTTATAATTACTGACATTTTTTGTGACGAATTTGAAACTGTCGATGAAAATTAACAATTTCTGATATTTTTAAATAGTTTTTGATGAAAATCACTATTAATTATCATAAAACCTATTAAAGAATAAGTCAATCTATTAGAACATATACATAAATCCCCCTTAAAATATTATGTAATATTTATCATAACAACACCTAACATGCATCATAAAAATGCATAATATGATGCATATAGCTAAGGGATTTCCAAAATGAAAAAATAACTCATTCATTCAAATTTAACATGGAAGATGGAAAGAAGGAAGCAAGACAGTTGATGATGACTGACCTCATTGAGCTTTGTTGCAAAAGAGATGACCTGAATTTTGAAGATGTGATCAGCAGAGTGATTACCAGTGATCGGACAAGGCGGTAACCCACGGGGAGCCACTCGAGCATAGTTGGTCAGAATCCGATTCGCAGAAGCATTCTTGATGGATTTAAAGAGGAAAATATGAGGAGCTTCGCAGGGTTCTCTAATGGGAAGCCGAGTGTTGAATATGAAAAATGGTGGCATTACATCCCTAACCCAGGGTTGGAATGTCTCCAGGGGTTTCTGAAGAATGCTTTTAGGGAAAATATTCTCATAAATATGGACAGAATATCCCCATGAAACAGAGAGGGACCAGTTGCTTTCCCTGTGGTAGCATATGGTTTGCTGTAATAATCGAGACTGGTCGACTTTCGCCGCCTTCATCAGGTGGTTTACAGATTGGTGGCGATCCATGGAGGGGAAGTAAGGGTCTACTTTCTCTGGGTGGTGGAGAGAGAGCAGAGGAGCTTCTGGGTGGGATGATAGTAGTCCTGATAAATCTCCAACTAGATCAATCTGCATCCAATTACAGTACGCACTTTGTCTTAGTTTGTTATACACTAAAGATTTGACTTCTTAGTTCTACAATCCCAGACAAACAAACCTAGAAATTGCCCAGAATCTGTACTCAAAATTTAAGATTGAATGTAAACCATTGATATAAAAATCTGACTGAATTTCAAGTTGGGTGAATTATTTTATCATTAGTCATTGTAATTTAAGTAAAGTGTCACTTTAATCCATACGGTATTAATTTAAACAACTTATATCATACATTCTTAATTTTGTTACAATGTGTTCCCTTTGTTATGCATCGTTAAAACTTTAAACGCAAAAAATAGCATATAGTTTCCCTTAAATTTTACATTGGTTCATCTTATTTTGTACATGACATTTTTTTATTTGAAATTTTAATGGTAAGTGACAGAAGAACCATGTTGTAACAAAACTGAAAGTGTAGAATTTAAATTATGTAAATTAAAATTGCAAAAATGAAAAATTTTGCTTAAATTAAAGGAGGCAATAGTATAATTTGCCCTTTCAATTTTTTTATTTTTTGTTTTGGTGTCCAGACTTTCGCTTAACTTATATATTGTGAGCCCACGTGTAAAATAAATTTCAGCCACTACACTAACTTTTTGGGAAGACTTTTGTGCTTGAGTTTTGTGTACCTACACATTGTGGTGTTTTAGTATGATTGTAAAAAATTAGTTTTTTTTAATTTTTTATGTAAAAAAATAGAGATATGATGTGGTAAAAAAAAAAGTAAAAATACTAAAAAAACAAAAAGAAAAAAAAGTTAAAAAACCAATCTTCCTAACTTGCTCCATTGTTTCTTAGTTTGTCATGGCAACAGTCCATTATTCGGTTGGACTTAAAGCTTCTCTCCTGTCAATTGTTTGGATTGAAGGATGTTGCTGGCCTATTGTGAGCACACTACAAATTTATTTTAATTATTCAAACTCTTTATATTATGGAGTTTATTAAGAACATCATTTATACAAATAATTATATTGATTAGACATCAATATTCGCATGATTAGATCATAAAATAATACAAAAAAACGTGAATGACAATGTCTTGTTTTTGTTTGAAAGTTTTTATGACCCAATGAGATAATTACCACAATTTGATAAACTTAATTTTTTACATAGTTGATCTTTTTAATTGATTTTTAGAAGACGAACGGTTTAAATTACCGTGCCAGCCCACAACAAACAAATTGCAATGTCTATTTCAAATAAATAGACACAAGAGAAGTTAAATCGTTTTGTGATCTTTAAAAGATGAAACGTTTAGGACAAAATCACAAGACCGATTCTTTATCTATATATGTGTAAATTATGGCTAAAATTTTAAAAACTAGTTTGATAAAAAAATAAAAAATAAAAACTCATAATTTTTATATGATTTTCTCATGGGAAAACAATTTTTAAAATTTTGAAATTATTATTAATTTTTTTTTGTGTTTATTTCATCAAATTAATTTCTATTTTAAAAAAAATAAGAGAAAGAGTTTCTATTTTTTTTTTTGGGACATCAAAATCCAAACATCATAGTTTATTTCATCAAACTAATTTCTATTTTAAAAAAAAATAAGAGAAAGAGTTTCTATTTTTTTTTTTGGGACATCAAAATCCAAACATCATAAATAATATTAAATACTCGAAATTGTATGTAGAAATATAAATGTGATTTAGATTTAATCTATATACTACCCACAAGAGAAGATCTTAACAAACAAATTATGAAACTTTCAAAAGAGTAAGGTTAGGAATATCAATATTTTGGTATAAAAATAGGCACCATGCACGGTTTGTTCATTAAATCTTTACGCTTTTTAGGCTTATATTTTTAAACAAATAAAACGAGGTACTAGCCAAAATCGGCACTATGCTCGGTTTTGAAAAAACTAATCCAAAAACTTTATTTTAAAAATTACCAAAAACTATTTTAAAATTACCCTTAAATAAATAAATAAATAATTTTTAAAGCAAATATCAACTTGTTAAAGAACTTGCTTTGGCAGTAATCATGCTTTAGATAATTATGAATCATATAATTTATCAATATATATACATATACATAAAAAAATAATAAATTTGTTTGACCAGTTGTTCTCAAACTCTTTGCGAATATAGTACTTTTTTAAAAAAACATTAAGTATTTTAAAAATTTTCAAAAAACATTCAGAAACACAAAAAACAAAAATACAACTAAAGAGACTCAATCAAAAGTGAATTATGTAGAGGAATAATTACAAATTAGAAAATAAAAAATGAATTACCTGATGAATGCCCTTTTGAGCATTGAGGTAAACACCAAGATCAGCAAGGCATGACTGCCACATTTGATCAGCAGCAAATATAAATGGATATCTCTTTATGCAATCATCCAACTTTGGTACCAATGCTGCAACTAATGGATAACTAAATACAACCCCAGCCCCCCCAAAACCCATCTCATAAGAATGAATAAAATTTGGCAATGCACTCTCAGAATGTCCTCCAATGTACACATACTTAGTATGATCATACTTATCCAATACTTCAACAATATTGTCAATGAAAAAAATGGAGTCGTCGTCCCCCATCATGTACCATCTCACCCCTTTGTCTCCCTCTCTAAATGTCTCCAAAATCCCGCGCGCAATCCTAACCATCGTTGCATCATGTTTTGTGATTTCTAATATTTTTGTGTTGTCTTCTGAAATGCGATATGGTGGAGAAGATGAAGGCCATGGAAGGAGATCTGCCGGGGGAGGCACATCAAGATAGAGGTATCCGCGTGTGATGTTTGGTTTCCACCATGATTCGATGTAATTCTTTCTGTCTCTCCATCCTCCCACAGAGCCAACAAGTCCGAACACAATGTGGTTAATAGTGGTAGGAGAGGAGGGAGAGACAGTAGTGATGTTTGGCTGTGGAGGAGACACCCATAGGTGCTGGAAGTGAGAGGAAATCAATTCAGATTGGCAACCGGGATGGCTGAAAAGGAAGACGGAGAAGAGGCAAAAGGCCATTCCTATAATACCTAGGGTTTTGCATGGAATTGGATCAGATGAAAATCCAAGTCTTTTTAGGTTTGAACCAGACCTGGAAACAGATAGAGAAGGCATTGTGAAGAAGGGATAAGAATGAATCTAGAAATTAGAACACTCAAAATTTAGATATGGTGATGTGAAACATTGTCAGGTGAAATTTAAATTATGTCCTAGGTTTGGAAAGACTCTTCCTAGCATTGCATGGTTTTTATTTTTTTAGTTTGCTTCTTTCTAGTTTCTAAGGTAATATGTTATTGCCATTATTTATAAGTGTTAAGGAAACCAAAAAAGAAAAAAAAAACAAAAAACAAACAATAAGCCAAAAAAAAAAAAAAAAAAGATTAATTAAATAAATAGTCCCCTAAATATGTGTCTAATTGCACTTTAATCCCCAAAAGGGAAACATTGTCTGATGAAATTTAGGTCTCGTTTGAGAACAGACTAATTTAGTAACTTTTTGGCTATTTGACTAAAATATGAGCTAAAAAAAATTTGTACGTTTGGGATAAATTTTTGACTTTTTACGAAAAGATGTACAAAAAGTAAAAAGAAAAAAGAATTTTTGACTTTTTGGTATAAATTGTTAATTTTTTGACCTTTTTAGTAATTTTTTAATTTTTTAATTAAATGGACTTATTCCCAAACGAGGCCTTAAATCATGATTCATGTCCTACTTTTGGAAAGACTCCTAGTACTGCATGGTTTTATTTTTTAGGTTGTTTCTCTCCGTTTTCTGATTCACGTGACATGTGATTGCCTTCATAACTTACCAAATGTTAAGAAGTCAAAAAATAAAAAAAATAATAATTAATTATGCGAATAGTCCCCAAAGTATGTCTAATTGCACTTTTAACCCCCCAAATTGAAAACATTGTCAAGTGAATTGTAAATCAGATCCTAAGGTTTGGAAGGACTGCTTCTAGTATTGCATGGCTTTATTTTTTAGTTTGCTTCATTCTTTTTTCTGATTCAGGTGACATGTGATTGCCTTTATCTTACGAAACGTTAAAAAAAACTGAAAAACCAATAAATAAAAAAATAAACAAAAAAAGATTAACTACACAAATAGTTCCCAAAGTATATATGCGTTTAATTACAATTTAGTCTCCAATATGTTAGTAGTTTCACTTTGTTCTTGTAGACGCCCCACTTTTGACTACCCGCGAGACTCAGACCCTCGGTTCGGTGCACTCAATGATGAAAGTTGAATTGTGAATTCGTAGTGATTCGAAATTAATCAGGCTCCCGAAATAACCTCAAATCTTCAACATTTACCTTGTTTGAACCTGTGAGCTTTATTTTTGGACCTTTTCCCTCCATGAGCAGAGTTTGAGCCAAAAAAATAGGGGAGGCCATCAAAGCCCAGCTGTGCATTGGTAATGCCCGGCCGTGGCTATGAATGGCCGACCGGCCTTCAATGGCGATTATAGACACCCCATTTTTGACCGTCCTCAAGACTTGGACGTTATCGTTTGAATACTCGATGATTATTCATACTCGTGTTCGTTTTGAGTTCTTGAAGGTATCGGCTACGCGCCTTGCCTTAGGATATCTCAACTTGTTTCTTTTGTGCTTGGTTGTGGACCAAGGACTTGTGGTTTTTGCTTCTGAGGGAAGATGGTGGCTTGTTGGCCATCCCTACAACCCATCGGCTAAGGCTTTGTGCCATCGGACTTGTTTTCTTGCCATCGGTCATAAGTGGTGGCTGATTGGCACTCTTTTTGGTCGATCGACACTCTTTTTGGTCGATCAACCATATTTCTTGGCCGAGACCTTTCCACTTGCTTTTGTAGATATATTTGTGCCAGCTGTGACAGTTGGTAAGCACAGATCTCATCCTCCATACACGTGTATGGAGGGATTGAATCATGACTCAAGCTTGTTCAACAAGCTTGAGAATTGAATTTCTATAAGAAGTGAGACCCCTCTCCCTTTTCAGAGGTTCTAAAAAGTTGATATACAAAACATATATATATATATATATTTTATCTCTCTCTCTATATTTCCCTAGTTTGTGCTCAAAAGTGTATTTTCTTCATACTTTTGCACTAAGGCACCTACCAGAACACTATCATTTTGTTGTTGAGGTACTTAGGAGCCGGTGTTAGTGTTTTTGGACTGGTTTTGGTTAGAAAAGAGTGCTGGAGTTGTGTTCTTGAAGGTGTTCTTCAAGGGTAAGTCTACTAGCCTTTAAACCCTTGTTTTGGTTTAAGCTTTTGGACCTATTTGCATGTTGATTTAAGCTTAACTTTCTACTATAAAAAGTTCTGATTTTTCATGCTTGTAATGTTTGTTTAAGGCCACTTTTGTGTTGGGGGTTGTCTACCCCCTCTTAGGCCTTGTTTGGTCTTGTTCTTGTGCCTTCCTTTTAAGCTACTGGGACCACCTTGTTCTGGCCTTCTCACCAGTGAAATCTAAAGGATTTTTAGTGGTGGAAATGGTGTTTTGAGGTCCCAAATAGGAGAGGGTCATCCGCTCTCCTTATGTCTCATATGCTTGTATTGATGGCTCATAAAAGTAACATGTTTGTTAAGCTTGTTTTGGCTCCATCTTAGCATGTGTTAGACCTTATTTTAGCATGATATACCTCGATCTAAGGTTGGTTTGACAGCCACTTTCATGCACCATGCACTTGTAGTGCAATCCTCTCTATTGCCTTAACATGTGTCTTGTGCTTGGATCATCATTCTTGCATGTTTTGGCTCAACTCAAAGAAGGTTTCTCTCATGTTTTACGATGCTTGAGCTCTGTTTGGTGTTATTTTAGTCATGTATGCATTGCTTTGTATAGCCATAGTGTATTCTAGCTTGTTAGCTTTGAGCGTCCAAGTCACTGGCATGCATTGCTTAGACCATTTTCATGATTTGGTATCATTTCATATGTGATTTCAGTCCATATAGTGTGGTTATGCACTCACATTTGTCACATTTTCCATGCATTGGAAGGCTTGTGTTTTAAGCCTTGAACATGAGCCATTATGCATGTCTTATTGCTTAAGCTTTTGGGATGCCATCTGTAGACACCCCATTTTTGACCGCCCTCAAGACTTGGACGTCACCGTTTGAACACTCAGTGATCATCCATGTTTGTGTTCGTCCTGAGTTCTCGGAGGTCTTGGCCACGTGCCTTGCCTTAAGACCTCTCGACTTGCCTGTTTTGTGTTTGGTTTTGCACCAAACACTTGTTGTTTTGCTTCTAAGGGTGGGAAATGGCTTGTTGGCCATTCCCACACCTCATCGGCCATGGCTTGAGGCCACTGGCCCCGTTTAGTTGCTACCGGCCATTGGTTATGGCCGGTCGGCACTCTTTATAGTCGGCCGACCATTGTTTTGGTCAATTTGTCTTTTTTGGCTGGCCGATCACTGTTCATTTGCTTTTGGCAGATATTTTATGCCAGCTGTGATAGCTGGCATCCACAATGCACCCCCTCCATACACGCGTATGGAGGGATTTCTCTCTTGGTTAGCTTGTTTTGTAAGCTTTGCAAGAGTGAATCTCTATAAAGGGAGGGCTTCTCCCCCCTCCTCAAAGGTTCCAAAAAGTTCCAGAGCTCTGAGATTAGGGTTAGAGGATTGTGTATCTATTCTATCTCTATATCTCCTTCTCCTTCCATTTTGTGTGTGTTTAAGGTGTTTTGTTAATAGTTTTGCATACAAACATCTAGTGCTACACTTTTCTTTAGCTACTGAGGTACTAAGGAGTTATTTTCAGAGTTCTTGAGTTGATTTAAGCTTGGAGAGGCTGCTGGAGCATTGTTCTTGAAAGAGGTCTTCAAGGGTAAGAACTTTACCCCTTTATTCCCCATTTTTGCATAGGCTTTTAGTCACCATTGAATCTATTTTTAAGCTTAGTGTGTAACTAGTAAAAGTTCTATTTTTACTTACTTTTGATAGTTGTTTAAGGTCTTTTTGAGGTTTGGGGTTGTTTGACCCCTCTTAGGCCTTGTTTGGCTTCATTTTTGTGCACTTTTGGTGAGCTCTGGGACCACCTTGTGTTGGCCTCCTCACCACTGAAATCCCTGTGGTGGGGATGGTGTTTTGAGGTCCTAAGAAGGAGAGGGTCATCCCCTCTCCTTGTTGTCTTCAATACTTGCCATTTTAGCCTCATGTGTGAGCACCTTTCTTAAGTTCATGTTGGCCATATTTTAGCTGGTATTTGTGGTTATTTTGCCATATTATATCTTTGTTTCAAGTTGGTTTAGACACACCATGCATGCTTTGCATACTTGTCTTGTAATGTTATGAAATTGCCTTAACATGCTTTGTGTTTTAAGCCTTGTTTTTAGCATGATTTTGGCTTAGCCTTGTGAAGATTTTATGCATGTTTTGATGTGCTTGAGGTCTGATTTTGGTCATTTGGGTCATCCATGACTTTCTTTGTATAGCTACCTTGCAATCCCCCTTTGTGGGCCTTGAGTGTTGGATCCTCTAGCATGCTCTACTTGCATCATTTCAGTGGTTTGGCACCATTAGTTATGTCATTTCAGTCCATATAGTATGCTTGTATACTTGCATTTATGGCTCCTTTGATGTTTCAAGAGGTTTGTGTTTTATGCTCCATGTTTGGGTCATCATGCATGCCTTTAGACTCAGGCCATTTAGATGCCATCTAGGTGTGTCTTTGACCTTGTTTTGGTCTGCTTTAGGACTGTTTTGAGTCCTTTTGTCCCTTTGAGGCTGGCCTTGTACGACCATGGTTTAAGCCCCTTTGATAGCTTTGAACCTTGGACCTTGGTTGCATGCTTTGATTGCTTTGTTTAGTTGGTTTGGCACCATCCTTAACATGATTTTCAGAGTTTGCCATGGTTGTCATTGGTCCGTGATCATCTCCTTTTAAGTGTGCTTAAAAGTCCCCTCTTTGTGCTTAAGTGTTGGACCATGTTCGCATGCATGTTTGTATGTAAATTTGCCTTCATTTCCATAGCATTTTGGCTACTTATTCAGACATGGCTGAGGCTTCTCCATATTAGTTTAAGTCCA